TTTGTTTTTGCGAATATTCATTAGAATGAAAAGAGTGTATATTTCAAAATTTGGATCAAACGAATGGCCATAAGATGGTGTTTTAAGGTTGTTGCATCATATTACTATACAACGGTTGCATGAAATCATTGTCCTATATATATATATTATTTAATATTTTTTGTTATATATTATTTTATAGGTATAAAATAATATATAAAATAATTTTTTGGATCCGAGATCTGGATCCAGATCCCATGTATACTTTTTGGATTAGGATATGAATTTGAATATTCAGGATTTGATTAGTTCCGGATCCAATCCAATCCTATGTATACTTTTCCGATTCAGATCCGAATCCAAGTGGATTTGGACCTAACCCAACCCATAACCCTAATATTGAGGTGCTTGTGAACAAGTAGGGTGAACCAATGGCAGCCCCACTGAGTGAGTGAATTAAACTAAATTTTGATGGAAGTTACTTGGTAATCCATAAAAAATTAGGATTCGAGGCCTTGTTAGAGACTCTATTGGGACATTCTTTCTTGCACGAGTGCTACTCAAGTCCTACAAAGACTACACAACAAATGAACCTCCAAGAAGCAATGGGCTGGGTGACCTTACCCTAAAACACTAAGGCCTGGGCCACAAAATGTGGCTTGAGAGCTGGGCCTTGGCTAGGTCAAAACAGGACTAGCCCAATTCGGCCCCATAAGACCTTTATTTTCTTTGTTTTTGCATTGTTTTTTTTAATTTTTATCTGAGGCCCTCAGGGAAATAGGGCTAGGCTAGGGGCAAAGTTTATTTCTTTCTTTTTACATTGTTTTTCTTTATTTTTCTCTGAGGCCCTCCGGGAAATAGGGCTAGGCTAAGACCAAACTTTGCCCGCACCTTTGCTAGCCTTAGAAGTGTAGATAACTATGGAGTACGCTTATTGACTAAATGATAATCTAGTAATATGATTAATTTTGAGATTTACCGACAAAGATTGATCCATTTTTCAAATAAAACTGGATACATAAGCAAGGAAAAAGTCTTGAAAAACTCTCCAATTGATTATATCGACCTCGATATGTATGAATTTAAAAAAAATTCAAGTTTGAAACGAAGTGTATCTTTTAATACATTATCTAAACGGTCAATTTTAAAAGGAAAATGGTTTGATAGGGCTGCACTCACCTCATAACTCATCAAAAATTACAATTCAAGCATTAGAAAACCTTCTTATCAATCATAGGCAACATTTTGGTTGTGAAAAAAAAAAAGATTTCAAGCTCTTTTGTAACAAATTATCTAGACCATCCAGTTTGCCCTAAAAATACATTTTTTAAGTTTCCAATTTCATTGTTGATGTTGGAAGTTTATTTAAGAGCCATCACAGAGATTATTTCCCTTGCCAAAACTATTTTCCGAACAAAGATTTGAGATGAGGTTTTATTTTGTTTTCAATTTTTCATAAGGAAAATTGTTTCATGAGGGCTTAACAGTATTTCTATATATACAGTCCAAAAGTGTAAAGCATCAAGTAGGTGTTTCTTCTAAAAACAATAGGTGTAAAGCATCAAGTAGGTGTTTCTTCTAAAAACAATAGAAACTAACGCTTATTATAATTATTATTTTTAATTTTTAAAATTTACTTACTTTTTCATATTCATGATCTCCATGTTAGAGATTATATAACCTTAAATAAGTCCAAAAATCCATCTTAAAAATAGATTTATTAATAGGCCAGTATTTCGCGGGCTTGGACGCATAGAAACCGGGCCCTTTACCATATATTATCTCTCTCTTCTCTCCCTTTCTCTCTCTAAATTTTGATATATTTTTCCCCTCTTTTTACAATCTCTCTTCCGCAATGCACAATCTCCCTCCTTTCTTTATAATTACTTGAGAAGGCATCTTCTTCTTCTTGAGATCATTAACCTAAAATAATGAAATCTCCTATTTTTCATCTCTCTTTCACTTGCTTCTTCTTAATCACTGCTGTTCTCTCAGCTGATCTCTCAAAGGAGTCGCTAGGTATCCACCCTGAAGGTAAGCTAGGGTTTCACTTCTCAGCAGCTATGGCGTTCTAGAGCTTTTATTCGAGAAAATTCTATATTTTTTAATCTTTTTCTGTTGGGGTTGATATAATCTGCAGTTTTTGGTTTTTTCTAGAATTGAAGTACTATAAGTCTATTAAGATCAAGTGTAAAGATGGATCGAAAAGCTTTTCAAAGGAACGATTAAATGATGAATTTTGCGACTGCCCTGATGGCACTGATGAGCCAGGTATCATGATGATTCAAGTTTTCCCCTTTTTTCCTCCAATTTGGAGAGAATTTGATTACAATGGAAAATATAGGTGTCTATGTTGTCTGATTTTATCGTGATTTGTGATCTATTTGGGAATATTTTTGGTTGGGAATGGACAGTCTTCATTGGGATTTAGTCATTCACCGTTTGATTACTGAAATTCTACTAAAGAATTGGGTAGTGAGGCCCAATGTAGTTCCCTTAACATTCAGGAATATTCAGAGAAATATCTGAATAATATATATACCTTTATATTTTTTGATATTCTCTTCTTTTTTTTCGTAAATTTCAATTCAGTTATTATGGTTTTTGTTATTATCACTGTTATTATTTGTTGGATTTGAAGTTAGTACTGTGGCTTTGGGTGTTAATTTTCTGAGTGAATGTCCTGATGTTACTGACAAAACATGTTCATGGTACAAAATCAATACACAGAACTGTTGACACTATTGGGAACTCTGTATTTAATAATTTTTTGAAGAAATCGATGGCATTTGTATCTTTCTCTATTGGTTATTGCTTTTCTTGCATTATAATGTGAACTTTCCTCCTTTTTTGTGGTGTCAATATATATTTTCAAAGTTGATTATATAATAAATTATATGCTCGAACAAGAAAATTTGTGATGGTCCCAATGGTTTTGGTGGATCGGTCATCAACCCACATTGTATGTTCTTTTATTGGAAATCTGTAAGTTACACTTGCACCTGAAGTTTTAGGTTTCTTTGCTTGAAGTTCTTTTGTCTTGGTTTCTTTACTGATTGTCTATTGTTTGGAATATATTCTGGAATTGGATTTAATATATTTGGAGGATTGGTTTTTCCACCCGAAAACAGTATGTCCTTTCTTTTAATGTGGTTGATTAATTATTACACTGTGAAATATGATCCTTGAAATGGATTTTGATATTTGTTGATTTAATTCTGTTATTTCCAGGGACATCGGCCTGTCCAGAGAGCAGATTTTATTGCCAAAATGCGGGTCATGTTCCTGTCACACTGTTTTCTTCTCGTGTCAATGATGGGATTTGTGGTAAGGTTTGGATTAAGTTTCAATATTGTCCTTTGCTTTTATATTTTTCTATTATGGAAATTAGAATATTCATTTATTTTTCTTTGCTTATTTTCTATGTTGTAGGTCTTATGAATAGTGTACTGTACCAAACCGTGATTATTGGCTGTCCTTCAAAAGGAAAACCAAAGATGTTGTCTTTTTAGTAATTTTAGTTTTTGCATGGGGCACATTTGGATAGCTGCAGTGTTGAAATGGGCATTATTTGAGCCTTATTAAGGCCCTAGGAAAGTAAAAGATGGCTTATTTGTTTTTGTTTTCATCAGAAGATAACTTTTCTGGTTTAACGATTTAACCTGAGTTATGTTACTCATGTGAGTCATTAAATGTCTTGGTCAGGTCAGCAAAAGACTCGAAAACGAGTTTCAAAACACTTATCTGATTCTGTTGAGAAACTTAGTCACATAACCCTTTTCTTAATGGTAATGTATGATTTCTCGATGAGTTGAGTAGACTTATGCAATTCGTAAGTCAACTTAGCAGTTTGCAAACTAATATAGTGCCTTAATTCTTCATGTAGTTTCTCTCTGAATTTCAAATATCCTAAAAACTAGTTTAAAAAAGTATGGCTATCTTGCTCTATCCACACGTGCTAGGGCAATTGCAGAATGCTTAGATTGGGCCGCCACGTGGCTTGTGGTTGATGTTTGTACTTTCCAAAAAAAGGTGGCCTGCCCTCAATTCTTGAAAAAAAAAAATTTAAAAGGCAAAAAAAAAAGAATTGTTTCAAAAAAAAAAGAAGTATGGCTATCTTCCCTTCAAATGAATGAATTGCTTTTGAGTGGTTTATGTGTGCGTGGGCATACCTCTATTTGTGTCAATATGCGTGGGAATGAAGCCTGAAATCTAGTCATTGATATGAAGTGTTCCATGCTGCTAGGATCCAACATTTTATCCCAGTTGGTTGATATTTTCTGCAGGCAAATTTTTCTTCTTAGTTTTGAACTCTCAAGTATTATGAATCAAAACCAAATTGTTTTGTTAGAAGCTACAAGGGCAATCCTTTCTAAACAAGTAAACTATGATAATTTTTTAGAAGCATTTGCTCCATAATTTCGAAGATAAAAATTAGAACCTTCATGCATCTAGTTGTGGCCAAGTTTTTGTTGTTACATTATTCTTTCTTGCTGCTATGAGCAGATTGTTGCGATGGAAGTGACGAATATGATGGTAAGGTTAAGTGCCCCAATACTTGTTGGGAGGCTGGAAAAGCGGCTCGAGAGAAATTGATGAAGAAGATTGCCACATATCAAGATGGCGTTGTAGTAAGAAAAAAGGATATCGAGCAAGCAAAACTGATGATTGCTAAAGAGGAAGCGGAGCTGTTAAAGCTGCGGGACGAGGAGAAGCTGCTGAAAGATTTGGTTGAAAAGCTCAAAGGTATGTGCCATTCTCCAATCCACTTGTACCTTTTCTTGTCTTTTCTTTTTTTCCCACTTGTACCAAGTTGGTGATTTGTTTCGCATTTTAATTTTGTTCCCATCTAAATTCTCCCCTAAATATGCAAATGAGAAATTAAAGTCTATCATTTGTTTATAACGATTCTTCCGTTTGTTGAAGCTGATAAGTTAAACAAGATCATTCCTCAAAGAAATGATAATACTCTTTTCACACTATGAGGGTAGCTTCTTGGCTTAGCCGTTGCAGTCCTTTTAAGTTTAGCTTAACAGACAAGCTATCATGGATTTATGATACCTATTGTTTTAGTTATAGGAAGAGAAGAAAGAATATAGTTATCATGGAGAGATGATGTAGATTTGCTTATTTATCAGATATCCAGTTTGATGTAGGTTTACTTATTTATCAGATATCCAGTTTCTGTGGGGAGTGTGAAATTGGTGTTTAGATTTTGTATCTGGGAGGCTCATTACCTATGGTTTACTGCATTGAGATTATATTATTTGAGAAAGTTTAACTTGTATTAATGTAGAACAAGTATAGATATGTACAAAATTGCGGCACATCCTTTGGTGCATATAACAAAACTGGCAACCCACATGCCGGGTGCTCCATCACTACAAAAGAAAATAAAAAGTGGTTAAGCCACACACATTATAAAAAAAATGGGGTGGGAGCCCCAAGGTGTAGCACATAAAAAAATAGCCCGCTGCAAACCAAACTACCATGTAGTACCATTAGATACGCCCTCCTTAGCGGCGGTGTTGGCTTCCCGCTTGTTTGCCTGAAGGTTAATAGTAGAAGCCTGCAAAGGTAAACAATCTGGTCAAGCAAGTCCTCAAGTCTCCTCGGACATTGTGCTAGTTAGAAGAATATTGAATTTTTTAAGACCCCCTCCGATGATCAACAATGCCGATGTAGCTGAGAGGAGAGTAGGATATGGGCTGGAGCATTCCTGAAGATGCCCAGCTTGGCCGGGTTCCAAAGGGAGCACCCATCTATGTTAAGTTTGATGACACGTACGTCTGGTGGTCTCCAAAGACTTGACCTAGGGATAGCCATCGGTTTGAAGGGGAAGATACCCTCCTAATTTATTGTAAAATTTACAACTGAGATGTCTTTAAAATCTATGCAGCCCTTACCCCAGATGATAAACCAAAGGCGATCATGAATGGCCTGAGTCCTTACCTTCGACTATCTGGTGGTTCCTCTCAAGCCAAATGATCTCTCCGCAAGAACAGGCCGATCCTCAGTTAAGTAGGGGAGTAGAAAGCATTGAATAGTTGCTGGATCAAATGAGGCGTGAACCAAAACCACTTAGCCGGGTACCCTGAAGTTGATTTTCCATCCAGCTATGCAAGAACAGGTGGTTAACAGTTTCTTCCACCTTTTTGCACATTATGCGTTGATTTTAGAGTTGGATACCCCTCCTTTCTAGGTGCTTGACTGTGAATGTTTTATTGAATAGTGTTTGCAAGTTGAAGGCATGTAGTTTCGGTGTTATGGGGGTTTGCCGTGCTTTGTTAACAATGGCCAGTCAGGCATGGGTAGGAGACAGGAAAGGGTAAAAATAGGAGACAAGGACTTACCTGACTGGTTTAGAGGCCATACCATCCTATCTATTATTTTGGGATATTACCATTGGATAGATTATTTTAGAATATATCTATTATGTGCTAACTAGTACAGAAAAGATATACCAATGAGGCTCATTACATAATGGATATTGTGAAGAAATTATCTAGGCGGCCAAACTAATTATCTTTTATTTGCTCTATTCATTTGCTTCTCATGCACACTCCAAAAAAGATCTCCAAAACTGCTTACATTCTCCTTAATAGTATGTGCAAATCTCCAGACTCCAGAGTCTAGGTGTTGCTTTAAACAATGATCAAATTTTAAGAGCAAAGTAAGATTTGATATTTATCCTCGAACTCAATGGTGAGTGTTCATCTAGTTCTTTTTCTTCTGTTCCAAAGAGGCAAAGACATAAAATGATAACATTAGTTATGGTCCAAGGTTCTGAATTGAAGTTTCAATCTACAATCAGTCTGGCTCAAAGACCCCACAAATTGATTGGGTTAGTGAGAGCTGCTGCCTTGTGATTCTCTTGGACAGTAGACAACCAATTCAGGAGTTGAATCTCAAATTTTCAGAAAGATTTCACAAATAGGCAGAACTCTGTTGCATTTGCATGTCTGTGTGGTGTATGTGTGCTTGTTTGTGTGTGTGTTTTCATTACATTGCTTTACTTAAGCATATGATGAGACAATGATGCTCATCACAGTAACCAGATCAACTATGAATTCATGGATGGTAACATGCATTGGAGTTTTCTTACAATCAAAATTAGTCTTATCCAGTCCCTAAGTTGTAATTTCAGGCTCCTATCTACTAGTTCTAATACGGCTTGACTATTTCTCCAGAGCGTAAAGAACAGATAGAAAAGGCAGAGGAACAAGAGCGGATAGCAAAAGAAAAAGAAGAAGAGAAGCTAAGAGAAGCTCAGAAGAAAGCAAATGAGAAGGCCTCTGAGAAGGGGGCAGATGAGAAGGAAGCCAATGAGCAAGAGAAGAAATTCGAGGAAACTCCACCTACAGACTTTGATGATTTCGTTGATGGGTCATCTGGATCTTCAGATAAGGTAAGATGATTTTATTGTCTTCAATGTCAAAATGAGGCATTGAGTTTTCATCCCTAGGCCCTAGCTTTCTAACGTTGCAAATCTTTTCAAGCATGCATGTGTAAGTGTATTTCCTCTCTTTCCATTCATTGTGCTATGCTATATTCATCATAAAAAACCTTTCCCCTTAACAACAAATCCTTTCTCGCCTCATTAGATATGGGGAAGATATCATATAATGTGATGGATTATGGAAGAACTATGTTCCACTGTATCACAACATCCGTTGAATAGTTGAACTTTTTCAACCATGGAAGTGATAGATTGAGAGATTTAAGGACTCGCACACACCATTGCATTCATGTCTTGTTCTGGTGGTTCCCACTCTCTCCCTTTCACTGTCCACCGCTTCATTTGAAAATGGTGATGACCCAAAGTACTATGGTTTTTCTATAGTTTCATACTGTTCTTCCCCTTGCAGGTGGTTATTTTGAATTGCAAAATCTCTGTCATTCTCAAAAATAAAACTTTGTATATATGTCACTAATTTACTGCTGAATTTCCTAGAAGTGCGCATTGCATCATTTGCATTTCTTCTTAATGTGAGCTCATCATCATCAAAGCCTTTTCCTAACTATTTGAGGCCAGCTACATGAATCATGGTCTGCCATGTTGCTCTATCGAGGGCACTACCCTCAGTGAAATCATAAGATCCCATATCTTTTCTCACGACTTCTAACCATGTCCTTTTGGTTCTACCTCATGCCCTTTTGAGCTTCCACTTGAACCAACTCTCACCTTCTAATAGGTGTTGTACTGGGTCTGCGCTGCATATAGCCAGCCCATCTAAGTTTACTTTCTCATTTCTTATTGTCTATTGAAGCCACACATAAATTCTCCCGAATGTATTCATTTTGATTTGTATCCCTTCTTGTCTTGCCACTCATCCATCTCAATATCCTCATCTCAACGTCACTCATCCTATGGGCATGTCATTTCTTGACCGTCCAACATTCCGCCCTATAAAGCCTAGGTAAAAGAAGTGGGTTGTGTTAGGTAGGCAACCAACATAAACTTTGTCAAAACTTTCCATAAATCATAAATCTATGTTATTAGTGTTAGCTCAGCACCTAAAAAAAAAAGCATCCTCCTGGCTCCCACAAAAGAATAGCACTTTATAGAAATTCATTAGGCCTGATTCTTCCTATGTTATTCTATTATTTAAAGTGAGTATAAGAGATTAATACCATCTGGACATTTGTTATATTAGTCACCAGGCATTTGTGTATGAGTTATTTGTCAGTTTTCATCTGTAATTTGCTATAGATTCAGGACAATTGTTGTGATTAATTATATATATGTAGCAGGGTCCATTGGTAAAATTTGTTATGTACAATTTAAAGTTTGAATAATGATCATCTTTACTAAATGCTAATCATGTACACTTGAGGAATAGCATGTAGTAGAAGAGAAAAGTGACTCCAACAATGAAGCTGAAGAGGGTGGTCATAGTGCTGGTCGTAATGCATCTCCTGATATCACAATAGAGCAGGTATCCATTTCTTATATAGATGCTCATACTCCACTTGTTGACTAATATGGTCTATAGTTGCATGATAGAAAATCTTTTTCTTCTACAGTTTCCTCGATTGACACTATGATCATTTGCCAAACTCACTTTATGGCGCTGATTAATGTTTTACTGTATCATATCCTATCTCCATTGTACAAATGATATCCCGGTGTTTTAAGAATTTGTTCAGAAGTCATTATAGCATAACCACTGAGCTGTTTCTAGATTCTTCATGTCTTTCTTTGTCTTTTCATGGTGTCATTTTATCTTTTTTTTTTTGTTTGAAAGGTTACCTTTTATAATAGGTATGTATAAAGAAGGCTTTTGTAGCCTAAAAGGGAGTGGCTGCTGTAGCCTAAAAGTACGCTTTTACCAAAGTAGTTGAGATGTAGAGAGAGAGTAGGAAAGAGTAGAGAGAGAGAAGAGATAGAAATGTGGTGGCATTTTATCATTGAATTAGTAAATAGATCAATGGTCAATTACAAGAATAGAGTTCGTAGAATGGATAAGTGGATCCTTTCAAAGGAGCCTTAGAGAAAATTTCCAAATAATTTTTCAATTGACACTCATGGCCCCTCTCACATTAATATATCTGCAGATTTTATTGGATTCCTTGTGATATGATTAATGAAAACCTCCAATAACTGGGACCAGTAGATCACCTCTTGGACAAACCCAACTCTCAAGGGAATTACAATATAGCGCATCTGATTATGTTTTAATGAATCTCCCCTTACATTCAAAGATCTAGAGAAATGTGAGGCAAGTCATCAAAGTTGTCATAAGAGATCCGCGGTTTCCTAATCCATTGAGCCCACAACAACAATCCATGTAGCAAACACTTCCGTCACATCTTCCACTTTGTCCGTCCCTCATTCGTTCCTTGATCATGTTTGAACCCTTTGGTTTCCAAAAGATCATTATCATCAAGATCATCATCAGAGCCTTTTCCCAACTATTTGGGGGTGGCTACATGAATCCCGGTTTGTCATTCTGCTCTATCAAGGGCCATACCCTCAGTGAGGCCATAAATCGTCATATTTTTTCTCACTACTTCTAACCATATCCTTTAGGGCCTACCCCTTGCTCCTTTTGAGCCTTCTACTTGAACTAACTCGCATCTCCTAACATGTGTTGTACTGGGTCTGCGTTGCATATGGCCAACCACCTAAGCTATTTCTCTCATCTTATCACCTATTGGAGTTACACATAAGATATCGCGAATGTATTCATTTCGAATTGTATCCTTTCTTGTCTTGTCGTTCATCCATCTCAACATCCTCATCTCAACTACACTCATCCTATGGGTGTATTTTTCTTGATAGCCTAACACTCTGCCCCATAAAGCGATCACAAAAAACTCAGGTTGCACATCTCCACCTCCCACCCCAGCTCAAATTCTATATGCGATATCTTTTTCAATCTCTCAATTTTCTTAGATTATCGACCCAAGATATGGAAATTGTATTCTTTCTTATATTTTTTGGCCGTCAATCTTAATTGCTTCCTCGTTTCTACTCCTATTATTACTAAATTTGTATTCCATGTACTCTGTCTTAATCCGGCTAATTTTAAAACCTATAGATTCTAGAGCATCCCTCCAAAGTTCTAACTTTGTGATGACGCCGCTTTGGGTCTCATAGATCAAAACTATGTTGTCCGTAAACATAAACTACAATAACTCATCTTGTAGATGCTTAGTTAAGTCGCCCATAATTGAAATCTCACTCGTCTCTCCACATCAATTCGTTATGTAGACCTATTATCACTGAAAACTCACTCGTCTCTCCACTAATTGTTCACACACTAGTTAGCTCTTCCTCATACATTTCTATCAACAAGTTGATACAGTTTCTAAAGATTCTTTTTTTTTTTTTTCCAACACCCACCAAATTAAATCTCGAGGTACAATATCGTAAGCTTTCTCCAAATCAATAAAGACCATGTGGAGGTCTTTTCCTTTTGCCCTAAACTTCTAGATCAGTTGTCTAACTAGAAAAAAAAGCCTAAATTGTTGACCGCCCTAGCATAAAACCAAATTGGTTTTTTGATACACTCATTTCATGCTTTAGTCGTTGCTCAGTCACTCTTTCCCACAGCTTCACAGTATGGCTCATAAGTTTGATCCCTTGATAATACGCTCAATTTTATATGTCTCCTTTGTTCTTGTAAAAAATAGGTACCAGAATACTTTTCTTCCATTCGTCTTGAGTTTTTTTTCTTTTCTTAACACCTTGTTGAGCAATTTGGTCAGTCAGCAATGCCATTCTCCCTCATGTACTTTCAAACCTCTATCGGGAAACCATTTGGTCCGAAAGCCTTTCCTATCTTCATTCTATTCAAAGCTTCTTTCACTTCTGATATCTTAATCCTATGAATGTATCTATGATCCCCGTCCTCATTTATGCTAACGGTTCCTTCTACCATTGTGTTTCTATTGTGTTTGTCATTTAATAGTTTTTTAAAATAAACTCTCCACCTTTCATTGACCTTTTCATCCTTCACCAAAACCCATTGATCTTCACTCTTAATACATTTAATATGGTCTACATCCTTATACTTTTTCTCTCTCATTTTTGCTAATTTGAAGACATCTTTCTCACCTTTTCTTGCTCACAGTTTATTGTATAAATTTTAATATGTTTTAAGTTTAGCCTTACTATTTGCTTAGCGTTTTTCTTAGCATTTAATATTCTTCTAAGTTTTGACCATTTCTATCATATTGCCAAGTTTTATAATATGATCGTTTTCCCCTAATGGCCTTCTGAGCCTTATCACTCCACCACCAAGTTTTCTTATCGGAATTTCTTTTCCCTCTAGTTTCTCTTAAAACTTCTTTTGCTTCTTTCTTATGTTCAAAGAGCCATGAGAAAATATAAGCTTTAGAACCTCTGTAAAGTAATAGATCTGCAGAATCTTAATTGATCTTTCTATCTAAACCAGATCATTGTCTAAGTGGGAGAATGCCTTCCAAAAAACTACATTGTTCATCTCAGAAGGCAATATGGTTGATTCTACATGTCGTGTTGAAAGCATATTCTTGGTTCATGTTTTGATGAGAACTTCTAGGCTTGTAGTCCATTTAAATTTTTTCTAAATGCTTATAAGAGGTGCATTAGTGGATACTGGATTCACTCTGCATTTGAAGTACTTCTACTTTACTCCCTTAACCATTTCTTATCCGCCCACAGATTAACTTGTCTAAATTAACTAGTTTGTCTCATTGCTTCCGAATCTTGTGATACATTCTAAGTTAAGTTTCATTATTTTTCATTTCTTTTTTTTCTTATTAAACAACTAATTACTACATACATTGCTAGAAACCCAGCATCAATCCCTTAACACTTGGGAATCTCAAGAACTCGGAAAGCAAATAGGTTTCAGTCTTAAATTATGTTTGCACTCTCTTCCTCAAGAGTGTTTATATGGTGGAATCATGGATTCATTACATCTTACTCAGTCTACCCAATTATTTTTTGGAGATTACTTGATCGCATGATGTAATTATGAGCTATTTGAACTGCTGGGTGAAAGTGAATTGTTGGTGAACTTGTTTCAATTGGATAGTTCTCTAAGTTTTTAGATGATTGTTCATTTTTGTGATGCAGGAGAAAGACAAAACTGATAACACCATTGACAAAATTGATCATAAGAACGAAGAAAACACTGAAAATATAGAAGGTCTTTCAAGAGAAGAGTTGGGCCGCCGTGTTGCTTCTCGGTGGACGGGAGAAAATGTAGGGCAGCAAGATAAAGAAGCGACTGATAATAAAGAGGAAGAGCATGAAGATTTTGCAAATACCCAAGACAGTGGAGATAACTATGAAGATGAGTATCCTTCAGATGCTGACGAGGATACTAGAAAATATGATGAGGATGAAATAGATGACAGGAATAAGTATGAAGACGAAGATGAAGAAGAGGGACCTTATAACCACGACATTCCCTACAATTCAGACACAGAAGACAATACAGACATATCTGGTTTGTGATTTATCTCTGACTTGCTCTTGATGCTATGAGAGAAAATGAATAGTGTTTTTTCTCATAGGCTCGGCGTCGTCTGATTTTTTCGGACAGTATGGATAAATCGACCGTAACGAACATAGCATGTCTGGTGCAGTCGATTTTTCACACAAAAAACACAGGTTACCTCAACGGCTCTATGAGAGGCATTGCATTTTTTCAGGCGAAACCATGACGGCTCTACGAGTACCACAACGGACAAGGCATATCCGGTGCGGTGCGGTTGATTTTTCACGTGAAAAACACGGGACACCGTAATGGCTCTAAGAGAGTCGTCGCACTTTTTCAAGCTAAACTGCAACGGCTCTACAAGAGCCGTTGCAGGGCGAAACACTATTCATTTTCACCCCATGGTGTTTTTAAGAATTCTCCATATATATATATGGAGAATTCTTAAAAACACCATGGGGCGAAAGTGGGGGCGAAAGTGGGGGCGAAAGTGTATAGTGTTTTTGCCCCGCAACGGCAGTTTCACGTGAAAATCGACCGCGCAACAGTCATAGTAGGTCTAGTGCGGTCGATTTTTTTGTGCTGTTCAAAAAAATCGAACGGTATTGAGCCTATGGGTTAAAATACTATTCATTTTCGCCGACAGCCACAGGCGTTGCATAGTTGCTTCCATATGTGTGTGTGAGATGCAACGATACTTCTAGAAAACCATCTTTGTGGTATTTGTATGACTCAAAATTTTACATGCACACTCTCTTTATCTCAATAATCAATCACAACAAAAAAAAAAAATTCAATTTAAACCCTATATATGGTCAAAATGAGTCCCCCCCTCTAACAACGAATCTAGACCATTTATTTGGTAAATTTCAAGATCTTAGCCTTTACAAACTTAAAATCATTTTTATCTTTTTTAACATTGTTCATCTAATCATAATAAAGCCATCTAAAAAAATTGGTAAAGAAAAAATCCTGCTAAGGCTTAGATTTAAGTGTCTCACCAAAATGGACAGCCTATGTTAATTGGGCTAAAAAAATACTTTCTAGGTTGCGTTTTCAAATTTTTCTTTTATGTGATTGTTCATTAGAATGAAAATAATGTATATTTCAAATTTTGGATCAAATAAGTAGCCCTAACATGGTTTTTGAAGATTGGTGCATCATATTACTATACAACTGTTGCATGAAATCACTGCCATAAATACCCAATTTCACATCCAATGGTCAAGATTAATGTGACCCCTTTGTATCAAAGGTAAATGGTCTCACTTTATACTTTTCCTATATATATAGGAAAAAGCTGGGGTAACCCCACTAGCTCATATGAACATATGAGCCCATCGGCCCAGATTGAATCTGAGCCAATTTGACGATCATGGATGCCCGGTAGTGTTTGAATTTTTTTTTCTACAAATTTAAATTACTTGAAATTTTAGGCGTGTGTTCGTCAAAAATCGGTGAATCTTCGAAAAATATCAAAAAAATATTTTACATGAAATAAATTGATCAAAATA